GGCCCTCAAGAATCACCTGCGGGACAAGGCCTTCGACGATCGAGCACAGCTCGAAAATGATGTCGGCCGTTTCTTCGCTTCGCAATCGCCAGAGTTCTGGGCAAAGGGCATCGAGCAGTTACCCGTGCGTTGGGAACATGTCATAGACAACAATGGTCATTACATTGTAAACTGAAATTGCATTTCAATAAAGTTATAAAATTGTGAAAAATTTGCGCAGAGTGTTGCAAGACTTTCCATCCAACCTAATATTTTGAACATCCATAAGATAGATCTGCCATTGTTCATCGATATCGGACACGATGATACGGTTTCGTGGAAATGTTTTCCTGACTTGCTTATGAATGGAATACGTATATTGAGAGGATACCCAAGCATCGACTTCCTTTCTCATCACTTTCAGTCCTTGCTTCTTGGCAGTTCTATAAAACGCCTCCAAGCCACCATAGCAACCTAGCTCCTGGGGAGGATAGTACGAATTTTCCATATCCACTTGCGAAATGCACACACTTCTTTCATTCAATGTGAATGACGAGGTTGCATTTTCCAGTCGAGACTTTCACTAAAAATGACAAGGTCCATTTACCATCGATGTTCTCAATAACAAAAAGGAACTTTTCCGTTCAGAACTCACATAATTTCGGGTTATGAATTCCAAACTGCGTCTATGTGGACATAAGTGCACATAATATGGGAATACGTAACAAAAACTGCGACTGAAATAATGGATCTAAAAGTCTCATGGTATTTACTGCGTCCATTCCTATCGGCTCCATAACGTTCCTTGCACTTCGCGAGGGTGACTGAGTTCATCAACATTTCATTCATTTCTGATATACCTGTTATGAATGTTTATCATATTTCCCAAATCATATGAGTAACTACGCAGATTCTTCAATATGAGGGTTTTGTGGCCATTACCTTATAGCACCCTGCTTAGTGACCGCAGAAGCCCGGGTTCGATTCATGGCCATGGCATTAACTCGTGTTCGTTCTTTTACCTCTGGAGTTTATGCTTTTCCATAGTTTGAATGAGTATTCAACAGCAAACCACCAGGAACGAAAGAGGTATGATGCATAAGGGAGGTACTTTTCTCCCCCTATTACGCAACTCCGATTTCCATAATAATAATTAATTAATTGTGACTCTGTATACGAAAAATAGATAAATGAACAAAGCGGGGAAATAAAACACCTCCCGTCGCCGAGCCCTAAAGAGTCAATATATGCCCACATCAATAGCATACATCCACTCATTTGCATACATAACCCACCCCTCCCTCAGGGGCGGGACGGAGCAGATGACAAGAATGGAGGGGGCAGTCCCTGACGTCACACGACGCGGGATGGTTGCCCTCTGACCGCTTTTCCATGTAAACAACGGTCTTGCTCCCTGCGGCGCTGGCATCCTTTTGGGTGCCATAAGGGGGTTATATATTTCTGAGGCTTCTCTAGATGTGATGCAGGTGTCGTACTGGCCGTTGAAAAGGATGGCTGACAGCATAGTTCATCGATGTGACAGTTACCTACTTTCGAAAGAAACACTGTCCCCGGCTTGCAGAAAGACGACCATTGCTTCTTAACGCACTGGTACGGACATTGATTACAACAGTCCTTCATAACTTCGAAATCCAAATCCTTGAATTCGGTTCCATTGTGGCACGTCCCAGAAAGGTTCCTGATAAATTTTTTATTGAGAACCAGCCATGCTATGTCACAATCGCATCGGATAGGATTGCCTGGAATAGGGACGCAACAGAAAGAGCAAAGAAGATGAACGAAGAGACGAATTAACCTAAAATATTATTCAATGGTATGGAACCGTAAAACTTACCGTCTAGAAAGAGGACACCATCTCCTGCGGATAGGATTTCCAGCATTGGGCGGAAGATTTCCTCAGACAATATAACGATGTCGTTGTTCGTCAGCTGAACCGTCGTATTTGGTCCGAGACCTGGAATGGAAATTAAAAACGTCATGTGGTGAACTGACTGGAAGCTCAAATGCTTCTTTCGAGCATACCACTGAGTTGGCAGCTTGAAGTTGATGCCTGGAAGTCATGGAAAATGATTCGAAAAGTTTCAGAGCCACCTTTTAAAGACATTGTCTAGGATCAATATGTTTCGGAGTTAAGCCAATCAATTTGCTCTGCACCAGATTATGCTCAGCTTGAATGCTTCAAGGAAGGTATATTTTCCCCAGATGCAAAGTAACAATTCACAATGTAATGTGTGCTTAGTAACCTTTGGCTATAAGTCTATACTCAGCAACCGACCTGTGTTCAGACCGGCTTCAGACCCCCTGGAAAAGTTTTATTGACACTCAATACACTTTGTCCTTGTGTTACTGTGTCCATGTGTCCTATCACAACAGCACTTCGTTTGTCCGACGATAGCAAAAAAAAATATCAGCCTGATCAATGCGAAATTTAGCAGCGGGTAAATATGAACAAGATGTAGGGTGAGTTCGTTTTGCCAAAATTTGCTATTTATTGCAAATTTTTCATTTGAAATTTTGGTCACATAGGGGAAAGCACGAACCCTCCTTAATCCTCCAGGACATGGACCTCAATGCTCATGCACAGACGACCTAGGACTTGAGCGCAGTGTCGTGGCTGCAAGCTGTGCTGTCAGTTCTATACAAGCCTTCTTGGGGGAACTAGATAGGCGGAGTGGGAGGCTGCATCTGTACATGCCAGCGTAGAAATGGTTGATATCAGAACTTGTGCCAGAATGCTAAAACATTATATTAGTATTTTCTTTTCATCTTCCGACGTCTACGTACAAGGCACGTAGTCTTCTTGATCATCATAGTTATTAAGGTACTAAGGGAAGATGATAATCGACCCCCTAGAATCAAATTCTGGCTTATAATTATTGTAGAGGACCCCAAGGGAGGGTCTTGGAGCCACATTTTGGCACTCTCAGGTCAAGCACCTGACCGTGGCGAATGGAATTCGCTTCTTCCCTCGCTCATTCTCCGAAGAAACATTGCATCGTGAAAAGCATGCTCCAGTTTTTAAAGACCGTCCCCATTCGTCTTCGTGCCAAAGGGCGCGATGATTCAACGAACCGTTTTCCTGGAAGTTCGAAGATATACCTCAAAATCTCCCTATTTTTGCAAAGTGCCTCACATCCATGGTCATTTCTAGAGAACGAGATAGAAATTCAACATTTCAACTAAAAGAATTGTGGAGAAGCCTCTTGAGCAGCTTCAGGTCCATTTTCAGACAAATCTGTTCACCCCCCTCAGATCCTTAGGGATTTTACTGAACCTATGTTTGAAATTTTCCGGCGTTTCAGAAACAAAGAGCTATTTTCTCCCCTTTAATGGGAATTAATAGTATACGCAATATTTTTCTTGCAAGGAGGAGCATTTCAGGATTTCAATGGTTCCAAAATCCTTTATTCATTCCACTGGATATGCAAACGGGAAAATATATATTATTTTCATTCAGGCATTTTCTGCTGCATGATGCGCGAGCGCAGGCTGTTACCTCAAACGTTCTCCCTCCCAGTTTCATCGCGTACTCGCGCACTTCTTTCCCTCTCTTCTCGCCCCTCCCACCTGACTAATACGAGGGGTATTACGAAGGCGGGACGTGGAACCGTGCTCTGCCATTATCTAGACTTGCTGGCGCTCATGTTCATTCCGCTTCCCTAACAGTGGCGTAGCTAGCGAGAGGGACAGACCCCCCCCCCCCCCATCTCCAGTCAAAATGCATCCTCCTCCCGCCCCGCCTTCCCGACTGCTAGCGAGAGGGACAGCCCCCCCCCCCCCCATCTCCAGTCAAAATGCATCCTCCTCCCGCCCCGCCTTCCCGACGAGGAGATCTAATTTCCCCCACCGTTCCACCTAGCCCCCCATTTTGAGAGTAGAGTCCCTATGCATCCGTTCCCCTTCCTTTCCCACGCTCAGTCGGATTGAGAACACTCGAAAATACGGAGTTCAAGTTCCGCGCAGAAGTAGACGACGTTAGCGCAACCTGATTGGTCGTGGAATTCGAGAAACAATGCCAAGTGCTCCCATACTCAATAATGGGCCGTGGAAGGCTGCCTCGCTTCTCCCTTCTTTATCTCTAAAACGTTGAGGTTCATGAAAAATTCTACCCAAAGGTTTTGTAGTCCAGAGTCTGCCCTAGCCAGCGGTATATATATTTTTCGCTTTTTGACCATACTCTAGTAAGATAAATGTACGAAAAGGATAATGCCTCTATCATGCACCTCTCTTTCCATCAGACGCCGTCCTTCTCCCACCTACATCTTGACAATGTCATGCTTGACGAAAAATCACTTTCAGATATCATTTGTAGTCTAGATTCCACCCTAACTGGTGGGAATATATGTTGAAGTTGTGCGCCTTCATTTTAGTTTCATACTCCCTCCTCCATCTGGAGGAGGGAGGTCAGGCAACGTTCGTTCTCTCTCGAGCATCTCCAAAATGGCTCTTTTCCTGAAACATCCTTTTCAGACAAGATTTTGGAGCTCATTCTAGTCCGAGGTATACGTTTCGTTGCTATTATATATTTTTTTTATATAATAGCATTTTATATAATATCAATTTTTTTTCCTGTTTTATCTGTTAGAAAATGAACGGTGAACATGCACCCTTAATCTATCAACACCGATCTGGTGTTGGTTCCATTCAATGATTGAATTTTTTTGCTATTAGGCTCTTTTTTTCATTCAGGACACACATCTTACCTCTTGGCAGTGGCGGCTCTTGGTTCAAGCTGTAGGGTAGACCAGTGACGTAGCTTGGGAAAGGAGCTGTCCTGGCTCCCACCCCCCTTCCCCCCTAGCTTACATAAGGTTTTTTAGGCCCTCATAGGACTTCCTTGGCCCTATGAAAATGAGACTCTCGCTACACTCCTGAGTTAAGCCCAGGATGCCAAAAAAATATTTGTGACCGAAACCCGGAAAATGAATTTTTTTGCGTGCGTCTTTAACGAAGTAGAGCGCTCTGATTGCCAAGTGTAGAGGGAGCCCAAATCGAATCTACAGGATGGTCCACAATTGTCTCCCCAAAAATAAAAGTTCATTACTCAGGAAGTATACATCAAGTACACATTCAATGATATATGATTCAAACGATAGCCAATTCAATATATCTTTATTGTTGAGAATTTCAGCATTCCATAAGAAACTAGAACTAGTTACATTCTTACATGTGAAAGCCAGCAAATCATTAGTGTTCAATATGACAATTGTAGACCACCCTGTAATTTTCTCAGGACAATTCGAACCTGAGCTGAGAGAGATATACATGTCGCCAGGATTGCAGTCCTGGCAATCTTCGCTCTGCCGCTTAAATATGTTGGGCTTCGTCTGTTCAAGGCCTATTACCGAATTCCCCTTTTTTTCTCCTTTATCACTTCTTATTGCGACCTGTCGTTCGTCGAGTCGTGAGCTTCTGGAGAGGGATATGTTTATTCTNCAGTGTTTTATCGTTTCAAATTCATCTCAAGAATTTCATTTTTTCTTAGCATTCTCGTCGGCTGCCTCGCTTCTCTATGCTTTATCTCGAAAACGTTGAGGGTCATGAAAAATTCTACCCAAACAAGTTTTGTAGTCTAGAGTCCGCCCTAGCCAGCGGTATAATTTTTTAAAAAAGCTTTTTGACCATACTTGAGTAAGATAAATGTACGAAAAGGATAATGCCTCTATTATGTACCTCTTTTTCCATCAGACGCCATCCTTCTCCCACCTACATCTCGACAATGTCATGCTTGACAAAAAATCACTTTCAGATATCATTTGCAGTCTAGATTCCACCCTAACTTGTGGAATATATGTTGAAGTTGTGCGCCTTCATTTTAGTTTTTTACTCCCTCCTCCATCCTCTATCTCACCTCCGGAGAGGTGAGGTTGAGGAGGGGGAGGCCAGGCAATGTTCATTCTCTCTCGAGCATCTCTAAAATGGCTCGTCCCGTGAGACATCTTTTTCAGACAAGGTTTTGGAGCTCCAAGTCCATTCTAGTCTGCGGCATACATTTCCGAGCAGCACATTCATCTTCACGAGAGGAAATATACCTATACTGGGAGATTCAGAACCCCACAACAACTCGGAACAGTCTTCCTTTGCGTATTATAGACACAGGGACACTTTTCCAGAGCAGGGAATTTGTAACTATTTACAACTGCGATAAAGGAATGAAATATTAAAATGTAGTTCAATTTCCCCGCTTGAATATGGTAAGTTTCGGGAAAAAGAGAGGCAGCCATTCCAAGCTGGGCTAAATATTTACTCATTCAATATCTATGAAGAGGGGATGATACTGTTACGGTTCCGTGCGTTCTCCTCTACTGGTGGTGGGAATCACAACACTGTAGGTCAGCGCTGATACAAATCAGGGTTTATTTAAAAAAAAAAACAATGTACCGCGGCCAAGATCGCACCAAGGGGATAAAAGGGGGAAACCACGTCGTTAAGCGATTAAGCTAGCACACCAACAATAGTCCTCGGCCAATCAATCAATGATCCTGGAAGATGACGATCGGGATATCTACACCATGAGACGAAAGGGATCAGGAGATGGGGAACGTCAACTCCCGCGGGATAAGAAGGTTCAGGATGTCGGGAATGTCTAATCCCGCAGGGTAAAGGGGTAGATGCTTATCGCCCGTGGACGATAAGCGGAAAGGACAAATAGGCTGTAATCAGCTCTCTTCTTGAGCGTGAGATCTTGCGGTACAGGCCATCATTTCTTGGCGCTTGGACGCCGAACTACTAGATTAAAATGTAGGCATAACTCTGCCTCTAGTCTGTGAGTGCCAGACGGAAATGAAAAGAGAGGTGGCTGAGAACAAAAGACATATAGAGGGTTACTAAGAAAGATCTCTCGATTGGGGTCAAGGGTCAGGGGTCAGGCGTGACACCTAGGGGGTCATGCATATACTGCGGTCTCCCTGGGTGACTCTTAGAGAGCTCTTCCCTCGCATACCGGCAGTCCTG